GCGGCAGAGGACATCACAGGTCTCACGACCCCGGGCGGCGGCGGTGGTGCGACAGGGTTGGGAAGTAGGGACCTCCAGCAGAGTACCACCCCCGGGTCACAGGCAGCCAGCACCCAGTCCGGGGGATCGTCACAGGGTGCAGACAAGAACCAAAACATCGAATGTGTCGTGTGTGGGGACAAATCCAGCGGCAAGCACTACGGCCAGTTCACGTGTGAAGGTGAGTGGGCCCCAGAATTGTTCTCAACGCATTGCGTGCGTCAACGAACACTCAACCGCGTTCTTTTACGTGCTTCGTCAGTGTTTTTTGTTGTTGTTGATCGTGATCTTTTGATATGTCGACTTGTAGGTGGTTGCCGACGTTTTGGAGAAACGTGTCGCCTCTAGCGTTCAGGGTAGAAGGAGATACATTAATCTGAAACGCTGGTAACTATAATCACGACCGACAGTACTAGAATATAATCAACTCTTCACAGCTGAGAGAAGAACCTCTTACTTTAAAATTTTGATTTTATTGTAAGGTAGGTCTGTTAGGTTGAGTAACGTACACAAAATGTACAGGGAGTGTGAACTAGTCCAGTAGGCCGATACGCTGTGCAGACAGAAATGTCGTTGTCGTTTTGAATACATGTTTCTTCAGAAGACGTCTCTTCCGCTGTGCGTTAGGCTCTGCTCTTATACTGGAAGACTCATTACACAAGCTGCTTGTTCGGGTTAACATGTTCGGATTCTCAAGCAGAAGACCATTCTTCGAAATTCCTCTCTGCCTATAAAATGATAATATTTACCTCAGCCATTAAGACTGGCCGTATAAGCCTATAAAGCACGAGTTATGGCCACGAAATGAAATACAGCCAAGCCAGAAACACCAATAAAAATTACCCATCGGTAGTGTTCTGAGGTTTCAGTTTTACAGACGGCAGTAACAAGACCTGCCCCCAGTCTTCATAAATGCGGCAACTCTAAAGTTGTTTTCATTCGTTTGGCAAAATGTTACGAAACGCGCCATTTGGAAGAATAGGGTATTTGCATGTTTGCTGGGTAATGTAAATCATCAGATTTCTCAAAAGATAGTTCTTTCAGTTTGGACATATTCTTGTATTAGGTACCAAGACATTTTTTCGCTAGTTATGATGAGAAACTCAAGTTAGCAAACACTAAAGCCTCCGAGAATTACGAAGAAATGTTTCTAGTAAGAAATGTACCTCGTGGCATTCATTGCAGGCCTTTTGGTAACAAAACTTTGGCAAATAAACACTTCAGTGCATACGTACTGTGTTTCTACCGTTTCACATCGCTAGCTAGAATTAAAATTATCAATCGATTTCAGACCTCGTGAATTGTACGAAATTAATTTAATTCAGTCTTGTAAAATGTGATGGGCGTAAGTTACCATCACGTTTTACTGACCGTTTCAAAGCTGATTATGTTGCACGTTGTGAAAATGAATTGTAAGCAGGGTCAGTGTCGTAGGTCATGTGCCTCCATTGAGGCAACTCTGAGGTTAGCTATGCAAACAAATAACAACCGGTAAATTTGTCAGTTTGTAGTCTGAGTATCCACCTAGACCCAGGGCAGTATTTTTTTTATACATTTGGGTAAAGCTGCTTGTAGTTGCTGGGTTCGAAAGTCGTGTAGTTTTCGTAGGTCTGCTGTTGGAAAAGTGCTCAGAAATTGAATGTACTTGCTTTTCGCCCTCCTGCTTAAGGGCTTCGATCACAAGATACGTCTACGATAGTCGCGTTACCATTAATGACGAATAAAATCACGTCTCATTTGACTGTCAGGCAATAATACATTTCTGGATGCAAATTCTTACCGGAGACGTGGTGTTAAGACTTCAAATTAGCTGTAGTGTTTTCTTTTGCAGTTTTTGGGTTATTTGCATATGATTTCATTATGTAGTGTCGAACATTACGATAATTTACGAATGGTGAAATGGAAAATGATTTTGAAGGAAGCGACGCCTGTCTTAAGATACCTTAAAGTAATTAATCTGGAGGAACAGAGTAAAATCACGAGAAACATCCATCAGGATAAGCGACACCTGGACTCGCGAATACACAATTGCGCGACGTTCCGTCAAAAAGTGGTTTTCCCATATCTCCCTTGCATTTCTATTTGTGGGGATACTTAATGTGTACTTATCACACTATCCCTAGCATTGACTTTGTAATTTCATTATTTCCTACGAGTAAAAAGGCGAGGATAATTGCTCTTCGTTTGGAATCGCAAGCTTTAAAAGATCGTTTCTTCGCAGGTAATGAATTATGATGTCATGCTTTTATTATATTATTCCTGCCAATTTAAATTTAATATGGCAATGATTATGTTGTGCAACGAACGTGCAAGCCAAGGTAACTGTTGGGTGACGGAAAATTTTGAAACTGCAATAAAGAGTTCAGTTTTATGGTTCAAGAACTTAAGTAAGTTGTGAGCGTTAATTACATTTGGCTTCCGGATTCACTTCCATTTGTACGTCAAAGACTGGGCCCACTTCTCAGTTTTCGCAAGAAACGGGAATCCATGGAACATGGTCCACCCTGAGAAGCTAATGGACGTTCTGCTTGTCAAATTATGCGTCATTTTTTTCAATTAGCAGGTTCATCAAGATGTTATGAAACTTAAAACATGCTTTTATCGCAATGAAATATTTTTATACTTTAAGTTCAACTATAAAATTTAACAAAAGCTAATTTACAAAAATTCTTAACCTACGAGTTCTTGAATAAATAGTTTCAAAGAGTCTGTGTGTGAAACTAATTTTTTCTAGAGATTCGAAATCTGTGTTCCGGTTGTTCGTGTAATTCGTAACAGTAGCAATGCAACGTAACACGTGCTGTGTATTCAGAACAATGAGCCTACGCTACACAATTTTTAAAATTATCTATCTGCATAATGTTTGCAGTGACATTCGCACAGAATTTGGAAACGTCCCTTCGAAATATCTCGTTTTCTACTTCCGGTATTTAAAATTTGAAACTATTTTTAATCGTCGGACTTTTTCCAGGCACGTCTACATGTGACGACGCAGTCCGTGTCATAAATTATTTCGCAAGTATGAACCTGCTACAGTTTGCAAAAACTTTCGAACGAACTGCGTATACGCTGTCGTGAATGTTAGTGACGGTCGAATCCCGTCCTGCGACGACAATACAGGGATCCTTGCTCATCGCAAGTTCCAGAGAATGATGCCAAATTAAGCGATGAAACATGCTGATGGCGATAAACCGAGTCCCACCCTTCCTGGTACAGATGCACCGAAACACAGCTTCTGTCAGTGTGGGGCTCCCGGAATGTAACGTTGTTTGTTGATGTTTCGGAAGAATATACTGCCTCCATCTTCAGGATTGATAGCCACCTACACGCCCACACGGCTTCACAAGCCAGAAGACCATCATCGATATATTCACTGCTGTGAGAACGTTGAATTTCGCATTGAACTGTTGGCTTTTTTCAAAATTCTTATATTTCCGTTTGCGGGTTCTAACAGAAGGTCTGTAGGCTACGGTACACAAGGACAGGACCTAAAATGACAAATTGGGATGGGCCAAGCCACAATCTTATAACTTATGAAACTGCGAATAATTAAGTTACGTTTAAATTAAGTCATTCCGAATTTTAATGTCGTCGTTATCACAGATTCGCAATACTGAACGTGAACGCCTATGCTAAGGAACGCACCTAGTAAGTGTCTGACTTGTTGAAGGCAGCTGATGAGACGAAACTTCGAGCATATCCAGACGTTGTTTTCCTTCATCTATTCCGTTATGACGAAAGAAAGGAAACGGAAGTTGTAGATAAGCGATTATCGGCTCGTGATTCTCCATGAAGCTACTTACACTTAATTTTAAAGCCTGGAGTGACAGTGTGAGCTTAAGGCAGATTTAACTCTGAAATTAATCCAGTATCTTTTAACCGAGTGAAATTGGTTTCAAAATTGCACTTATGCGATTACGATACATTAACTTAAAGAAAACATGTTGACCGACGCATTAATTTATGCCAAAAGTTTTTCCCACGTCGTTTACTTCGCTTAAGTTACTTAGAGTTTTTTTTTTGTTTAATATAAAAAATTATATATCTTATTTACCGTCTTTAAATCGCGACACTAAGCCCATGAGGTCTTTCCACACACGGTGACGTAAATGTGCTTTTGTCCGCTCTTCAAGGGGATCTGAAACACAGTCCTCGGCGTGTGTCGGATCTAGTGATAACAGTCCTGTGATTTGACCATGGTCGTTTTTAAATGGGTAAGAGTACACGCAAAATCAGCTTTGTTTATCCACGCGCCTTTACAGCATGGACAGGTGCCTGACCACATGGTACATTTTCTTAATCACCTTTTTTAAATTCAAGTTTCTGAAAAACAAAACTTTTTAATAATTTTGATGAATCGTACATCAAGGTTAGACGCTTGAGGTAACCTGTCATTACATGTTCAAATTAAGAAGTGCAATAAACCTGTAATACACGATGTCCCACTTATCGTGAAACCAGTGACCACAAAATGCCACAGCATTTGCCAGCGAATTACCGAGAATTGATTCAGTCTCAGCGCAGGAGACAGCAGTCGCTTGATAGTAGTTGGTAAGATCCGAGTTATGTGGGGCTTCCTGTACCACATTTGTTCACAAACATATGTTTTCGTATATTTAAATTATATTGTTATTAGTTTTGTACTGATCTTGCATGAAGGTAAATCACTGTAGAATTAGGTCTACTTGTTTTCTGAAACATCTGTTGATCGAAACCTATACATGTTCTCTCACGCTACTAATTCAAATATTTTGAAAGCTATTAATCTTTCATGATTAATGATTCACAGAATTTCGCAACTGTAAATAATTTAGATCTGCTGCACTTTTCGGTAACTGAGTTCTTTACTGTAAGCAACACTCAACCAAAGCCCAACCCAATCAAAGGGTTCACTAGCCGCAGAGAAAATTTGTGACATGGTATGGAGATTGGTTTCACAACATTTAATCGGAGGAGGGAGGTATAATTGTACATGTTTTAAAATGTCCGCAATCTGAAACCTATGGAATTTTGAATGTCAGTAACAGACGCGTTTTCATTAACAAGAGGTGAAATAATAAGACAAGATTGCAGATTAGCCACGCGAATACACTGTCGCTTTATACAGGGAGTGAATTACTCTAATGCTGAATATGCCCAAGTAAAATGCCTCCCAGAACTCGTGCACAAAACTTCAGTCCA